TTCATTGCTATTNTTAGTTGAAACAACATTTGCCGACAGGTCATTGACAACATTTGCCGACGGATCATTGAAACACCATTCGCGGACGATGATTTGGTCTGGCCAGTTTTCTGCATTCATGAACTCAGCTGAGTCTGTTTCATAAATACAAACTCTGAATGCAGCGCTTGTCTGTTGAACATCGATTTTGTCAGAGTTCGTGTTTTGTGTGTTGATCGATGTTGTAGCTTGCTTTGAGCGGCGATTAAAAGTTGAGTTTATGATTGCTGAGCAACCAAGCACCTCAATTTTCAATCTTCATTTGAAATGTTAACAAAAATGTTAACCTATATAATAGAAATTGATTTACACGAGTCAGTTCCAAACTTATATTTAGCTTTAAAGATTTTTTTGACAGTGTGCATTTCAATTTCTTCTTGCGAAAGAAGCTTTTCAAAATTGAAGCTGATTAAAAGTTATCTTCGTTCGACAATGAGTCAAGCAAGACTTAATGGCTTAGCAATCCTATCAATTGAAAACACGGTGGCGAGAAATATTAACTTTGATGAAACAATACAAATATTTTCTGATGCAAAATCTCGTAAAAAACAGTTTTAATATATTTTTCGATTAGCTGAATCAAAATTTTGTGGCATATGTGTACTGACATGTGTAAATGTTTTGTATCTATGTATATTGCATTTTTGTAAAACATAAAATATAAAAACATTTTTCATTTATTTTCTGCATCATCAGCCAATTAAAAAAATGAAAAAAAGAATAAGTGCCTTATCCTTTTCTGGACATCGGCTACCATCAATTTCCACAAAATATGGACTGTGGTTAGTTTTTGTCGATGAATTTCTTGGCAGAGGTATAGACATATGTTACCATTTCTTTTTGCCATTGCATCAAATAAGCGACCATATGATGGTCTTTGGGATGAACAGCATGGTATGCTTTCGAACTCGATGACACTGACTTCAACGACCAAGCAGATAATCATTACATCCACCATATAATATCTATGTATATGTAATACATATTATTTATTTATGAAAGGCATCACAAATATTTCCGCCCCGGGCCTCAAAGGCCCTAGGAACGCCACTGCCTAGAATTCTTTGAAAGCTTATTCAGGCCATGTATCTCATGACCGTTATCGCAAATATTTTTTGTTCCAACATCTTGTTGGCTCACAAAATTTTTATGTTTCAAATTAATATTTCAGTCAAACTTTTATCGTAGCTTGCATATTTGTTGAAATAAGTTGTATACTAGTTGTTAATTTCCATTATTTTGGAGGTTCTACAAGTCTTGAATGTTACATTGTCTTCATTCACTCCCGAAATCAACACTTGTAGTTAATCAGTTTTACGACCAATGACATACAGTGCAGAAAGGAAATTGACGGCAAAGCTATTGCACGAAGAATATACGGAATATTAAATGAAATTTGGAACAATTTGACTAGTTCGTGATTCTACATCCCATAACCAGCGATACCAACATGAAAATAATTATCCCTCTAGAGATGTTCTCACCGGAGAAAGAAATTATAAAAAGTAATATTTGAAACATGCATGTTAAAAATGTAAAAACAATTAATAGAAACAGAAAAATGTTGGCTATCAGTACAAGAAAGGTGACGAAAAACGAGGTCATAAAACCCCGACATAGGTAGGAAACAAAAAAGCAGATGTGAAAAGGTCAAAAAAATTGACTTTAGGTTTATTTGCAAATGAACTAAAGCTGGAAAAGTCGAAAGACCTCTCGATAAACGGATGATGGCTAAGTATAATGGTTAATGGCTGTAGCACAGTAGTAAGGATGGATGACCTTATCGCCAAAGAAAGGGATGGGCAAGTAATAACGGTGGCCAGAGATAAAGAAAAAATTTCAAAATCGACAAAACAGCTGAAAACCGTCATACTAAACGGTAGGCCTTTAAAGTTAAATATGAACCACTGATTGATAGACGTAAATTATATCACAGCACATCCCATGCTTTATATGCGTTACATAAGCCTATATTACGTATAATTCAGGCGGGATCTCAATCAAATATCAAATTAAATTTGTAACAACCCTCATTTTACGCTCTACCCCTCCATACCTATACTCATTTTACAACTGGAAAGTTTGAGCTAAAAAAATCAGACATAGAATGCAATAAAGATATAATTATTAAAAAATGTCAGCAATTTCAACAAAATTTGACAAAAAAACGTTCAAAAAAATACTTACTATTAAAATTATTAAAAACTATGAACAATTTCAACTGTAATACAATTATAATACAAATATTAATTTTATTTGTCACTAATCGACATAACATTTTTATATAAATAATTAGCGGAATATTTCAATAACAAAAATGCTAAAAGGTCAAAACAATTTGTAAACAAGTAAAAAAAAACTCAGTTTTAAAATGAATAAGAATAAAAAAAATAGTTTTCAACAACAACTAAAGTCCAAAAGTTTAACGGTTTTATCATAGGAGCCTGACACGATCATATCCTCATTGAACTGCAAACACGTCACCCCATCCGTGTGGTTTTTTAGTGTAACCAAACGCTTGCCTGTTTCTAAACTCCAAACCTGCAAACGAGAAAAACTTATGCAAGAAAACTTGGTAGTGAGAAATCGAGATAATATGTACTTTAATTGTTTTGTCATCTGATGCACTAACTACTCTGCTTTTATCGACCTGAAGACACCTGCATCAATTTATTAAAAAATTGAGTGATGAGTATCCATCTGCATACATTTATTATGCTAAGTGTTGAAATTGCCAGTGTTTGAACAACATAAAAAGCGCCAAACGGTAAGTTTGTCCCAATAAATAATAACTTTATAAAAAAAAAATTTCACAACCTGATGACCCTTGTGTGGCCTTCAGACGCCATCCAATCGATGACCTTCACACAACTGGCAGACCTCAAGTCCCAGTATCTGAGTGTGCAGTCGAGTGAACCGCTGACGATTTTGTTATTAACAAACTGCAGACAGCTCACAGCATCCAAATGTCCAGTCAGTGATTGAATGCAAGTCATTGTGCTTGTTGACCACACCTACAATTTATACAATTTTCAACAAACTCATCACAAATTTTGATGTAAACACAACATAATCATTTAACCTTACTCTTTCTACCCTTAAAATCTTACCGAAACTGTAAGCCTAATCAACAGAACACAAGTAGATGAAGATAATAATTCATTAAAAGAGTACCACCTTTATTTTAATATATTATTAATCAGATTTTGAGAAATGCAGACAACATAGCATACCAACTACAGACGACAACAGACAAATCAAACTATTGGCTGATCTCACGAACATGCTTCCACATACAAATATCAATGGTACGACCACAAAAACAGTTTAAACAACTAGAGTGACGGGCATATATGTATGTATATTTTTCCTCGCTAAATTTCATGAAATGCTCATGTTGTGGAGTATTTGAGCCACGTTTTTAGAGGTTTTCAATGAAATTCATTATGCAAATATATAGTCTAGAGAGCTCCATACAATCGTATATACATACACACAAACGAAAGAACAAATATGATACACGGCGTACATAATGGAACCTTCACCTTTATTGTTGAATCACTTGAGCCTGATATGATTCTGTCCTGATCAAAATAAATGCATAACACCGCCCCTTCATGGCCTCTGTGTAATGTTCAAGTATCAATGTTATATTCAAGTACTAATGTAACGTTCAAGTATCAATGTAATGTTTCAATATTAATGTAATGTTTAAGTATCAATGTAATGTAATGTTTAAGTAGCAATGTAATGTAATGTTCAAGTATCAATGTAATGTTCAAGTATCAATGTAATGTTTCAATATTAATGTAATGTTCAAGTATCAATGTAACGTTTCAATAATGTAATTTTTCAATATTAATGTAATATTTAAGTATCAATGTAATGTAATGTTTAAGTAGCAATGTAATGTAATGTTTAAGTAGCAATGTAATGTAATGTTTAAGAAGCATTGTAATGTAATATTTAAGAAGCAATGTAACGAAATGTTCATGTATCAATGTAATGTTCAAGTATCAATGTAATGTTCAAGTATCAATGTAATGTTTCAATATTAATGTAATGTTCAAGTATCAATATAATGAAATGTTCAAGTATCAATGTAATGTAATGTTTAATGTAATGAAATGTTCAAGTATCAATGTAACGTTTGAAGAATCGATGTAATGTTTCAGTTTGATTATTAATGGGGATGTAATCTAACGAGGTTTTATACCGGATTTGAGACTAGTGTAGGCAAGCTAATGAAACCGTAGCCACAACCGCAAGCTGTAAGTTTATAACATGCAACTGATTATGAAAAATAACCGACTTCAGCCTCTCAAAATACTTAGACTCTGATTAAAAATTTCCGGCTTCGAATTCCGGTTCTGGATTTTGACTCCCAAAAATTTTTTCAACCTTTGCATCATAATTTTACTTCAATATCATCACTATTAAATGAAAAGTACTTTAAACACACTTAAAATCATTCAATGCAGTTTTTTTCTTAGTAAGATTACTTTATATTTATGTTTCAAAACACAATGAAAGAAAATTATGTGATTTTATTCCCATTATTAACATTTATTTTCAGTATCAATGCCGATTGCATATCGCTACACATATTTACCTTCTAAAAACACGATCTTAAAAAAATATTTTCAGAACAAACAATAAAAAAAGATTTCATTTTCTTAACTCCTCCCGAAGACAGATGAAAAATATCAAAAAACTACTCAAAAATTCCGACCATGACTCCGACTCAAGCTCCTCTAAAAATTCTGACTCTGTAAATAACCTTAATTGATGAAAAAAACTTAAAAACTCACCCCATGCTTAATTTTGTTTTATTACAATACAAATTATAAGCAGAAGTATTTACAAACAAACCTCAAGGTGTTTTCGCATGCTCCATTTTTAATGTTCCAAATCTTTATCGTTTTGTCGTACGACCCGCTTATCACTTTTGTGTCATCTGCCTGCAAAGAATTTACAACTAATACATACAAACACACAACCGAAACCTGATCAACTATGAAATCACACAAATAAACAACAATACCTCATAAATTTCAAGTTTACTAACGAAAATTACGAACACAACATCACTGAAAGCATATTTTGTGGATAAAAGTATTTTAACTTTTTGAAACATTGCTTAACAAAGTTGAAATGCAATGTTTGGCGTCAGAATTTACATTATAACGAATACTCAATAAAACAATTCTATCTAGATTGAATCCATTTTTAATGAAGTGTCTTATATTTAATTATAAATTTGATATTTTTTGTCGGTATTATTTTTAAAATAACCCGAATATTAATAATTTATTCTCAAGCGAGCATGCCCCAGTGAGGTCCGTGTTAAATGTTTCCAGTCGTCTGGAAAATTTTCCACGTTATTGTTGCACCATTATAATAATAATAATCCCATAATTGTCAATATGTTATCATTAAGTAATCATTTGATCATATTAAATTGCATTGTATATATAATTATGGTTAATGCCTTGAATGAAAAATGTCTAGACAGCCATTTAATTTTATTAAAATGTTTGAAAGAAATAGACTTCATTTTCGAAAGTTTCAAAAATTAATGCTCTTAAATTTGTTTTACAAACATGACTTGTTTATCATCCAGATTTTAATCATTATCCTGTACCAAATAAATCAAATGACTCACTTTGGCGTCAACTAAACTTGAGCGCTAATGTTTTTCAATATGAAGTGACGACAACATGAAATTAAAACATTGAAAAAGTTTCAAACAAGTATTTCAGATCAGTAATTATTTCAAAGTACTTTGAACTTTCCCACGAATCAAATTGAACTCAAGAAACGAAAGACTATGATGAAAAAATAAACAAAATGAACAAAAACGAACAAGTGAGCTAACTTTTAAACACCTGACTGTATCTGTGTGTCCAATCATAGTAACTTTACACGCAATGCTGGCCCAATTCTTCTTCAAAGATAGGTCCCACACCTGATTTGATGTTGAAAAAAGAACGATTGAATAATCCATAATCAAAATTTTATTCCATTGGTGTCATATATCGATAATAATCCATCATTTCAAACTTTAAGAAAATAGAATTCTACCTTTTGGAATTGTGATCACGTCAGTTACCAACAAAATTAACTATCCAAAAGTCAATCATTTAAAATTAGGCATGCGTAGATTTGCGTTTATGACTCGTTTGTAGATATAAAGAAGAAAGCAACGCTTTAATGAGAACAAATCTAATTATACCGATTTTTAAATTTTCAAGTTTGAATTTAGTTGGTGAAAGGTTTGTGTTATGGAATAAAGATATAACTTTTAGATTAAAAGTTAAACTGCCGAATCAACAGATGATTAAATGGTTGAAGTGTTTGATGAACTGAAAGTGTCTGAACGGTGATAAACTGGCAAGAAAGATTTCAATGGTTGAAGATAAAAATCAAGAGTTAGTGTTTGAGTAAGTTGGGTGGTCGATGATTAAAAAATATGATGGTTAATTAATAAAACATTCATAGTCTGACGACATTGATTTCAACAATGAATGATGAAATGATGATGAGTAGCAATTTATAAAACCACCTTTATCGTTAGATCAGCCGACCCGCTGACCAGCCTGCTGTGATCCAGGTGCAAGCATCTTACTTTACCTTTAGTTGAAAAACGGGCAATTAAAAGCACGAATAATTAATTATTCGTAATACGATCCCTCCTCATGCTTCAAAAATATTTGTTCTACACATTTCTTTGTATAATTCTGTTAATCAAATGTTGATACCTAACATTAGTTAGCTCGTAAAACCCATTCGCGCAATCTTACATCAATCTCCCTGAAAAACATTACTAAACATATCAAAATACACTCAACAAATGTATTCCTTTCAACTTAACTCAGACGCGTATGAGTTCACTTTGTAACTTCAACAATTTTATTTCTAAGCGATTTGGAAACATGAGTCAAACTCTACTTTGTAGTTTAATTGTTTTTTTGTAATTCATCTCTTAAAATTAAAGATGTGGGCTATCAAATTAATAAATAAGGCAAACAACTATTACGCATATATTAAATTATTTCTCGTAATAAATAAGATTGTTCTTTCAAAAATATTTTCGGTAGTTACAGCAGTAAATTTCGCGTCAACAACATTAAGACGAATTCTGTTTCGTTCAATTAATTCCATGTCAGATACATTACAACAACTTTTCCATTTTTGCACACCCACTCTCACATCATGATGAGTTTCATCATCAAATTTTCGGCTTTCCATCAATAGTTATTGTTATTTCTCACATTACTGCTATTTACCTAAAACAACTCTGAAACTAATCATAACTTGTACAATTCAGCTCAACATTAATCTCCACACAAAGCAAATGCTTCGACAAAGTGTCTGTCAGAGCCGAAGTTGGAAATTTGTGCAGGAGTAAAAGTCGAAATTCGATTTGCAAATAAATACGATTTATAATTACCAGGCTAGCCTACTAATAAAATCAAAAGTCACCATAACAGAAACTGACTTCAAGTATCCCTACAGTTACCGCATTTAAATAGTTTTGAAACACAAATCAATTTTTCTATAACTGAATGCAAGGAAAAATATAAAACAATTAAAAAATTATAAATGATAGAAGAGCAACACCTGAGTGGCCAACCAGCGTTTGAACAGCCCAAGAGCTGTTGGTTCTTATGTTCCATACCTGAAGAATTATACATATCGTTTATTTAGTTTTTTTTATACAAGGCAAATGATAACCATACAATAGAAGGTGCACCATTTATTATGATATTAACGAGGTATGTTATAGACGTTATAAAACATCAAAACATTAAAATATAGTTATAAATAAACTAATAATAAAATAATTATTTGGTTCATTTATGCCAGGTTTCAAAAAAGTGTATACATCTGGGTTACAAACAAATTTAAATTAGGTTAGTAGAAAAAACCATATAACGCTTTTTCAACGAGCGTATATTAAAAGAGCAACTTTGATAATGCTTCTTGAATGAACAGAATAAGTCAGATAAGATGAGTATTTGATTGATTCTACGATGAATCATAATAGTCATGCAAAGCCAACATCTACCTATTTGTATTAAAATCTAGCCAAACATTTCCAATTTTCCAACCGACAATCATCTGAGAAAGATTTATAACGTTAATGCAATAGCTTAACTGCACCGTACAACTTTCATAGCTCTCTTTGACGAATTCCTGAATTTTTAGACTCAAAATTGCGTTATTCAAGAATCCTCATGTTATTCCATGTGACCTTTACTTCTCCCAATGTCATCCCATGTTATTCCATTTTTACGTGACTATTACTTTCATTAGTGGCTTAACTACCCCGGGTTCTTCCATCAAACGCGATCATCTTAGGTGTGTAAATCAACCCTGTTCTTACAAAAATTGAATTCACAGCCCTAGCATTTTTTTTAAAAATAACACCGGTTTTGGAAAAAAATATTTATTATAAGTTATGTGGAAAATTTATTTATATATTATTATAAGTTATGTGGAAAAAATCCCATTTCAAATGTCTCAAACAAATCTCAAATTTTTACAGAATTTTCATAAGAAATTTTCTTGGTAAGGGCTGTAACCTCAATGGTAAACTTCAGCAACTAAACCTTAATTGTGTTGTCAGACGATCCGCTGACAATCCTCGTATCATCAAACTGTAGACAAGACACACCTGTAAAACAATGTTAATGCTCAAGGTTGTCAAATTAATGTTAATTCACTTGTTGTTTATTTTACTCAATTCTTAAAAAAAATCTATTTTAATTATTTCAAACTAAGTAAGACGATCTTAATAAGAAATTGATGTATAAATAATTATTATTGAATGTTAAGTAACATTCAGCAAACATCAATCAACCCTTATTGACAAAAAAGTGTCTTAAAATTAGTTGATTTCAAAGAAATTGTACGAAACTGCAGGAAATACACTGAAATTTTCATAGCTCAACTAACCACTTTTATATACATCTAAACCCTTTCTGCCTTTTTATAAAACAAAAAGTTTGACAATTTCACAATTGACTTTCCCAATTGAATGCACAGTGCTTGCAACAGGCCACTTGGCTGTTATGATCATTCAAAGCATGAACACGTTCAAAGTAACTAACATATGGTCAAAACATATATACAAGAATATAGATCACAAAATTGAATGCAGTCACGTGATAAAAAAATTATGAACCTTGAGAATGACCTTCAAATGTCCTAACGTTGCACCTTCCCTTCAACCAGTTTAGCTGCAGTCTGTATTTTTCTATGTACAGCTTTTTCCACTTTATTTGAAATTATGGTAGTCAAGTTCAAAATGTAATCATGAAATTTTAATACAATTGATAACGATGGAAAAATGTACTGACATCAAAAGCTGAAGACTTGCACTCTTTAGAGAAATTAACATCATCCCATTGAAAGTTCCAACGTGAATCCCTGCATAACTTTCTCCACAAGTGTTGTCCATTGGTCAGCTGGTGCCATTTCTTATTGACCAATGATGACTTGCACAAACTGCCTGTTGTAATAATTGAAATAACAATTTTTTTTAAATTTTCTAAGAAAAAAAATTAATCTGTTAACAACATGAAGAACCTTGCATAGATAATGTTTAAATGATGCAAACCTGCGTCAAGATAAGATAAAATTTTTGATGAAACAATCTCAGGAAGGACAGTCAGTGGATCCTGACAGTTAGCAGGACAGCCCTGGTGCATCCTGTGAGACATGACCATTGACAGGAGGTGAAACTGGGATTGCTCACATTCATTCTGTCTCAAAACGGAAAATTGAACCACATAAATAAGAGATCATCCAATAATTTTTAAGCAGTAGCAAACAAATATCTTGCTTGTGACCAGATAAAATTTGTAAAATAATCTTGCTTGTGACCAGATAAAATTTGTAAAATACAAGTTGTGTTGAATGTGTTGAATTTTTGCATTTAGGAAGTAAAAAAGTTAGTAAAGTTTGGCTAACTTACAAAAATGAAAGATTTTTCAAATGGTAAACCAAATGAATGGACTATATTTATTTGATAAGCAAGCTTACATAATGACTGTTTCTGTAGAGCTTATTTATTAGTTATATGTCAGAGTTGTAGTTTTCTTACATTTTTTTTATGAAATAGAATTTTTAAATTATTTTTGTAATATATAATCAGGAAATCTATTGCCTTTTAAATGCCTTTATTCATTATAAAAGTTTGAAATAAAATCATTAAATTTGTTAATTTTTAAGATTTAATAAAACTAAATATGAGTCTAATAACATTCATCAATACGACTTGAAAATTCAGAAAGAAAGAATCTTCTTATTAAAATTTTTTTTTGTTAGAATCCTTTAATTTATTCTTGTTAATTTTAAAGTAAAGACTCAGTTCTGACATGTCAAATAAATTATATTTTATTCCCTCAACTAACTCGACCAAAAGTAATTTAAATAAAGTTAAATAAATAGCAATTTGCTTTAAAATTTTGAGCAGAGCTACAAATTAGAACATTTGTTTAATACGTTAAAAACATCAAAATGAACAAAATCTAACAATGAAATTTTTCAGAACAAGATTTTTCTGTTCATCATTGAATTCTTTGAACCATTGTTTTAAAAGCTGAAAATTGAAAATTTTATGTTTTAAAAAATATATTTATAGAATATTTTAGTTAAAAACTGAAACCAAGATATTAAAAATAATTAAGTTGAATAATTTAATTATAACATAATTTTTCATTACAAATCAATAATCTTTGCATAAATTCTTGGAATATTATGAATACAGGAATAAAAAGTTAAAAAAGCTTTGAAAATGATGCACAGGACTAGAAAAATTTAAAATAAGGTAAAAATTAAACCTTTAAAGTATCAGCATAGTTTATTTCACATAATATCTTTATTACAATTATATACAAAGTACACATTTTTTATGAATATTGCAATCATTGTTGTTGCAATCATTGCAATCTAAGTTGTGTTTACCTATTTAATAATTCTGAATGATTGAATTTAATTAAGATGACATTTGTATGTGATATTTAGTGTATATGACTATATGTATATGTGTTTAACTGTAAACTAAAAAGTGTAAATTAAATTTTTTTTAAACTAATTCTCTTACAATGCAATAAATAAACCTTAGCCCTGATTTAGTTCTGACTAAATTTTTGGTCAAAAATAGTGGAAAAACTAATTTATTTTATTATATTTCTATTTTATTCCTTAGCCTAAACTAAACGACTGAGTTTAGTTTAGAGTTTAGTTTAGTTAAGTAAGTGAGTGAAATCAAATCTAAAAACGGACTTGTTCACTTCACAGTAACAATTTAACATAGAAAGAGTAATAAATAATATTAATACTTAACATTAAATTAAAATGGAGAAGGTAGTAAAAGCTTATCTCATAAAAATTTACGGAGATAAAAATATTAATAAAAAAAACTAGAGCAAAAATTTTTAAAAACTAACACTAATTTTTTGTCTGAATTCTGTTGAAGACACTTTCCTTTTGAATAATGTTGGCAATCCAATTCCTTGACTTTGACTATTGTTTGCATCAAACACATTATTATTGTTTGAGTTATTTAACTTATTTTTCATTAAATTTTTAAAATTTTCTTTAAAAGTTTCAATCATTGTCTTTCTTTCCTTCAATGTTCAACTTACTTAATTTACCTATTTTTTGTCCTACTTCAATTTCAATGCAATTCAAATTCAACCAAATTAATATTAAATTATAAATAATATAATATTAATAATTTAGTTTAGTTAGTTTAGTAGTCTTTAGTAGTGTTTAGTAGTGATTAGTCTTAAAAGTTAGGTTAGTTTTACCTAGTAACTAGAATCTAGTTGATAATTTTTTCTATTAATTATAATTGGAAAAAATTTATCTTTTTGTAACTTTAAAATTATAAACCAAACAATCCAATTTACTCGGTGCGTGATGAAGAAAATTTGATTTTAATAGAATGAAACATTGATATTGCCAAATTGAGTTGAATTAAATTAAATATTTTAAATTAACAATCAATTTTAAAAGTGCATTGCATTTTTTGGCAGAAACTATTTAATTATAGGCGCATACTTATAAGTTATTGCAGACCATTGAAACACAAGTTGTTAAATAACACAGTGTAGTTATGAGAATAACTTTAGACATAATTTACTCGGTGCGTGATGAAGAAAATTTGATTTTAATAGAATGAAACATTGATATTGCCAAATTGAGTTGAATTAAATTAAATATTTTAAATTTTTAGCAAGTGCTTTGCATTTTTTGGCAGAAACTATTTAATTATAGACGCATACTTATAAGTTATTGCAGACCATTGAAACACAAGTTGTTAAATAACACGGTGTAGATTATGAGAATAACTTTAGACATAATAAGTAGTCAAAATCATACATTTTAATTTTACGAATTAACATATGTGATCGAAACATACTAGTAGCTGAATAAAATTAAAGTTCCCGTTAGCGATTCAATAAAAAAATCATTTAAATTCAGACGTAAAATTCAATGTCATTCCACTCATCTATAATATTTATAAAGTTAAATGTCTGGTACGCATTTCCGAAGTTTTGAGAAACCAGGAAGATACAAACAGCGTGCATGCATACTTGCTATGCGGCGCATTCGATCCGGTCATTCCGTAACAGGAACAGACGATTTTTACCCTCACGCGCTTTATGTAATTCAACAAAATATTCAAGATATTTATTTGTCCTCATTTTTTCGTTCACAAAAATTATTTATAGGTGTCATGAGGAAACTTGTTTAAATGTCCCATGAAAATTAAGGTACAAGCTAAATTTTTGTTTATTGTTTCGATGTGTCGGTAAGGTGGTCGGTCATTGAAGGTTGTCATTGTCAACTTTTAAATGTGTTAGGTCGGATGAGTTAAATTTTTTGTTGGCAATTTAGAACCAAGTGAGAGAGTTAGAGGAAAAATAATTCATCGCCTTCCGCTGATTGTTTAAAAATGCCTTATTTAAAAGTGGATAAATTTCTTTCAGCAAGAAACCAATTTTTTTCTTCGCTAACCATTTGTTTTGTTGCTTGTATATTCACCTTTGATTTATTGCTACCCAAATGTTTCTATGTTTTCATTTTTGTCTAAAGACAATGCTACTTACTGCCTAACATAAATTAGTAAACATGCCATGATATGTTCAGACATTAGCCTCCTATAATATAAATATATACTTTTACAATGTTTTAGCCTATACCTATAGGTTTTTCGTTACATATTCAATGAAAGCCATATTGAGTGGACTGTTGGCCTTATAAATGATGAGAGATGGCAAGATGAGTTAGCGTAAAAACTTTTTAATCAATGAGGATAACTTCTATCTCAATGTTTCGTCCTAATTAAGAAACAAACTGTAACAAGTCATCAAATTATTTTTTTATTGTTTGGTTTACTGACAAAAGTTATGTCAATCGTTTTTTTTTCAAAAATGCAGTTTTTTCGGAAATAAGGGTTAAAATGGCTGATCTTGAAAAATATTAATTTTACCGACCTGGGTATAATATTAAAATAACACGTTATTTTCTTTTATTGTTCATAACAAAATATTTGACCGTCATTTTAACATACTTTTACTGCTTCAATAATTTTTTTATATTTTTCAAATATTAAACACAGATTTAATTAAAATTGACAAAATTTATAAGTCCTCTGAAGACAAATTCAGCAAAACAATCTTAGAACTAAAAATTGAAAACGTTAAAGATTAAAAACAAATATTCTAAACATTTTGATTGATAATATTCTATTCGTTTTATAAGAATTCAGCAAATGATTTGCATTTGAATGAAGGAAAAAATTGAACTGTTTGTTTGGTGGTTGCAGCTGGGCAATCAAGAGTGAGCGAACGTGTCCTGAACTCGCCTACATCAAACACGTCTTGAGTCTTACTAACTCTGAGTATTTCACTACTGCAGTTTAACATATCACTGACTTCTGTAACACACGTCTCTAAAGTTAACATTTCAGTTTTCTTCATTCTCCTTTCCGAAACTGATAATGTTTCTTTCTTGGGTTTATTATCAACATCATAAAATCTATTTGCCAACGGTTGGTTCTGAACGATCAGCTGAGGAATAATTTCTTCGAATTTCTTATTATTTCTTTTACTGTATCTGTGAAGGATCATGACGTCTGGAAGCTTCAACAAACTATTCATGCTTTTCTTTGGATTTTTCCCGACTTTAATGCAATAAAATATAAATCATCAACTAAAAATTAAATTCAAATAAATAAATAATATAACTTTTAAACTTTTCTCCCACGGTAAATGTCATATTTTGAATTCCGTTTCCCAAAACTGGAACTCGATAGTGCTTCAAAATTTTTTGTTTGAATGATGCAGTTGTAACAGAGTATATTATTGGATTAAGTGCGCTATTTATAGGAACAACAAATATTGTCAGCCAAGCGTAAAAGCTATCTGAAAAACGTAAGTAAACTTAGCATATTTCAATTCAACATTAGAAATATCAGAATAAAAATACCTGATATTGTAATAGAATTTAAAGCCATGATTTTAATTAGAGTTATAGGAAACCAACACAACACATTTGTCCAAACAATCAAAAACAATCGTTTATCCACTGTTTGAATTTTTCTTTTCATTACTTTATTCCCCAAATTATTTTCATTATCGTACATGTCGACAATGTTAGGGATTTTAGTTCTTGTATATTTCAAACTAAAAAATATGACCGTGTAACAGACTGTGATGATTACGATAGCAGATAAATTAATGAATATAAATATGAAAGTGGAATACTGCCAGCCATTAACAAAGGGGTCATGGATGTGAAATGGCAAACAGACTCCATTATCGCCATAGAACCGTCCGAACGACGAAAGGAAAACTATGGGCACACCTGCAATGACAACTCCTGAAACCCAAATAAACGTTAAAACTAATCCAGCTCGGTGTATTGTCATGATACGAGGTTTTAGAGGAAACGATACAGTTAAAGAGCATTCAATACTCATGCATGTCAAAATTAGAACCGAAACTTCGAGTGCAAGCGTTCCGATGAACCCAGTAACTTGACACGTCCAGCCGTCCATCCACTTCATCGCATAAACGTTGTACTGGTTCCTGTAAAGAACATCGTGGCTAGCGATGATCAAGAGATATATGCCTAGCATGAAATCGGCAGCTGTTGCAAAATAATTAAAATTTAAAATATTTTTACTTTTTTAATGATAGCGAAAATGTAACCAGCAAGATTTTTAATAAAGAGTGAATGAACATTTTTCTCCTCGTTCAACACGATTCTGCAGATTATGACCATAGCATTACCGAAGCACGTGATGAAAGCAACAATCCAGACAGAAAATCCGAGAACCGAAAAATGGAGGAGGTTGCTGACCGAAGATATGCCATCCGTTTTTGGCTCACACACCATTATATGAGGCACATACCGACACATTTCAAATCGGGAGAAATGACTGTTGGTGGTCGTATCCATTGAATGTTAAAAATAAATAGAACGAAAAATGAATGCTTTGAACTGTAAAAGTTTTTGATGACTTACACAGATTTCAAGTTATGTAACGGTTCAAATAAACTCGTCTTAAAATGTGCTACAGAAACATTTAACAAGTTTCTGAAATGTAAGTTTTAGGTTATTTAAAATAACTGAAAATAACTGGCTAAATTTTTAAAATTTTGTAATCCTACATTAATTTAATTTTGGTCAGGTTTTCAAATAGTTTGGCTGGTATTTCCGAGAAAGGATTGTTTGCCATGTTCCTTGGAAACAATAATATTATGATCCAATCATCAAATTAATTTAATGTTCAGATTTTTTGTAACTCACAAATATTCCAACGAAGAATCTTTACGTGAACTTTGGAAAGTTTGCGGGAGGGCTGAGAGTTCATTATTGTTTAAATCTCTGGATGGGAAAAATATTCGGTTGATGAATTGATGTTAATGTGATTGAAATGCACCACGTTACAATACCAACATCTCAACGAGATTGTGACATTCATCAAATGCATTGTCTTCTACCCAGCGTATTCTATTGTAATTCATTAAACTGTGGTGAAACAAATAAATTGCCTTATCGTTAATTTAACATTTTAAAATCATTTGAATTATCTGTAGTGCAAGGGCTAACAGAAACTCCACATTGCCACATTTGCCAAACGTCTGCCTCGAGATTTCTTGGATTTCGTTGTGATCGAGATCTCTGGTAAATTAAAAATAATTATTAGATTATGTTTGAAATGATGGATGCTGCTCGTTCGTACATATAAAAACATGTCGGTGGAAGGTTGAAGGAAACTGAAGTCGTTGCTCCAATCCTGTTGTTGTGCAACTGTTTAATAATTTTAGCAATATTCTCACCAATCAAACAATTAACACATGGACGTATACTTGTACCTATATATATATAAAATTTTAATGGAAAAGACAAAATTCAAATAAATAACAATTTTAAATATAACGCAACTAGATATAATGAATTAATGATCAACCAAACTTTGCAAAACAAAGAGATAAAAAAAGAATGGAAATTTCGAACATGCAAGCAGTTCAGAGATAGGAGAGCATCAAAGGCATCGTGAGCAATGTGATCAATCATGTTATCGCGTAGGTCCCTGCGTTTAACATTTTTTCATAACATTCAGTTAAATGTACTTGAGTTTGATAATTTTAATTTGAAATAAAACAAGTGCAGCTTACAGCAGTAAAAGATTCCGCAATCCTAAAAATGTTGTCGAGTTGATGCTGGTTAAGTCGTTTTCACTTAAGTATCTTAATTGAGAGGAAAATTAATTAAAAATTGTAAGCCTTTTGCGTTATAAATGATCATTGCAGACTCACAATTGCGTTAAAAATTTGAGAGTTCTAAATGATTCGTCTTCAACTTCAGAAATGTTGTTTCTCTGCAGGCTTCTGTGATATAAAAAAAATTAACGAAGATCAAGTGCAAATGAATTCGTTTTATTCAGTTGTTCAGATAATAAATAAACTCACAAATGCGTTATATGTTCTAATGCTTCAAAATCTGAACGTGATATCTTTGAAATTTCGTTTTGAAAAAGAAATCTGAAAAAATGAAATTTGAAATCAAAAATTACAATAAGAAAAATTATTATCAATCAACAATACGTTTCAAACTTTGATATGTACAAAAATTATTTTTCCTTTCATTTAACATTTACGCAAAACTTGACGTATTTCTATTTGCAAAATAAGCTATTATAAAGTATTAGTACAAACATTTATATATAATTAATAATTGTTGCTAACATTTTTTTAATGGTACTCGATATGTTGGGAGGAATGATCGTGAGACCAGCTTTGTGGCATTTTAGGGACTCGGATGATTCGATGTTACATCGCTCTTAAAAATGTGATTGCCATGTAATTCATGGGAAAAATTAAACATTTTTGCGTTTCTTAAAAATATTTTCAGACGTTGCAACACTACCTCTACCTACATATTTCAACTTCATTTCGCAATTGATAGCTTGATTCAGTGCTTATCGTTAGTTTAAAAAATTGAACACATATTTGATCTGATCAGGTAACCTCGCTTTAAAAATCTTAGACTTATTTATATAGATACAAGTAAATAAAAATTTGAGGCATGTTTGAAATTGTAATACATATTAATGCATTCGGGAAACTGCTTAAAAGCTAAAAGCTTTTAAAATTATTTTCCAACCATCTAACGCTAAGATACATAAATCTCAAAGTCTATTCTTTTAAAATCGCAGTTTCAACACTTACAACATAAAAATTTAAGATAAAAAATTGCAGATATTTTTAAGAGAATTTTATCCTACCAACCTTTATAGCTAGTATAATAATAAACGTCAAATTCATCGGAATGAATGGTATGAAAGGAATCATTTCGCTGGTTGTCAGTGAGAGTTGCCGATTGTGCAGATTGGTTTTTTGGCTTTTTGGTCTTACTATTTACTTGGTTTTTTGAAATAGTACTTTTAACGGGACTCTTTTCAAATTTGTTGGCATTTTTACTCATTGGTGATCCCAGGCCATCTTGAAGTGAATGCACGGGTTCCTGCTGCTCTTCTTCGCATGAAAAGAGCTGGTCTTCAGTTATAATTGAAGAGGATGGTGAGATACCATAGGTAGAAGTTGTGGAGACATTCGGCAAATCTCTCACAAATGACTCCAAACATGAACTTCCGGTGCAATTCTCTTTGTGTTCAGCGGATGAACCTTTACATCTTTTGAAAAAATTCAGTAGAAAGATCCTGTAATGCATTTCTGAAAAAATTAAAATATTATTCTTCAAAAATTTTAATGACAACAAACATCATCATAACGCGATTTTAACAATAACAACGTCTAGAAATAATGATGTAGAATCATTACATTTATGAAACTAATTGATTGATTACTGACTGCACGTGCGGAAGTCTTCATCCTCTCCATCCGGGCAGTCGATGACGTCATCACACCACTGACGTTGTAGGATGCACTTACTCGATTTGGAACATGGAAAGTATCCGACGGAGCAATTGTTGTGTCGAAAGCTCAGCTGCCTGACATCGTGCACAGTGATGACTGGAAGATGGAAAATTAAAAAGTCGGTAAATAGTCTTTATTGGAACGTTTTTATGTCATGTTTTTCTTGTACAAACGTAACCATTTCGTAGTAAAGGTGTAATCATGTTAGTTTTAACGTGTTATTTTTACTCGTTGTTATGAAAACATGGTTGGTTACATTATATATGTAGTGGTAAATTCGTTTAATTTGTTAAAATTTTTATGTGCATGTGTCATGTGAGCGTGCGCTCGTGTGTATGCTTGTGATTAAAAAAAATTTGTTTGTACTTGCTTTGGTTTCTTTTTAATTTTGCACTGCAATGGTTACGTTCTTCTTCCTTATTGAAGAAGATGATACATCAAGAATTGTGAAAAAGTAATATTCATTCATTGTTACTTCATATAATTTTTATTAATAATAATGTAAAAAAGATTCTCAGATTTGATTGTCAGTGAAACTTCCTGGTCCAGTTTGACGGCATTTGATGGTTTCAGGGATTTGAAATTGGGCAGCAGCAACAATCCATGTGATGTTAAGCCATCATCTGCCTGATAAAGTAAAAGATGGCTACTTTTATTATCAGAGAATTTATATAGCGCCTTTTAGTCTTACTCAGAGAGTTTTCTCAGATTTAGTCTTCTTGTGGTAAGTGGAATTGATGTATGAAAAGAAACATTTTTAGTTCTTTACAAAATTGTTGAACAATCAATACTGGTTGACGCAGACTGTCTGGCAAACTGTTTTAAACATTCTCTGATTGTTAGCTAATGAAAGTCAAATAGGGCATGGCCAAAATTGGTTAAACTTCTATCTCCGAGAAATGATAACTGCCGCTCGATTCTGAATAGACTGCAGACGATCAATCATTCTATAGGACACTCTATAACTAAATACTGTTGCAGTAATCCAATTTTGAATGGACAAATGAAAGATTTTTAATAAACACATGTGTTTATGTATTGATGTGTGAGTGTGTGTTAATGTGAGTGTCTTGCGCGTGGAAAGTATCAAAATGAAGTGTGAAGTGATGTGTGTGCATGCATGCGTGTGTGGTCCATGCGTGCGTTAGTGTGCTCGTGTGTGTCTGCTTCGTTGCAAATGTGTGTGTGTTTGTTTGTTTGTGTGTGTATTTATGTACCTGTATCAACAATAGAGAAAAACTAAAGATGTATGATGAGCAGTACAATATCGAATATCAAAAATGTTTTAATCATGAGCAATTTTGTTTGCTAACAACATCAACGCCGGCAAGGCCAGGGCTCTTCTTTTTTTAAAACACACAACATTCTTCATGTTTTGCTTTGCATGCAAATGGCGTTGTCCTCACCGTTAATTGATTTTTGCTTTCATAATTATAAATTTTTGTATGTGAAATTACTTTTAGTTTTATTTTTTGTTGCTTTCATATCTCATATGACTTACAAATGAATTTGTCACATTGAAAACATTCCTTCATTTTATTTTGAAAAAGATATTGAAAATATCTTTCAGACAAACGACCAGACACATTGCATAAATTTTAAAATAGTATTTAAAGAATTTCAACTTATTTTTTTAAATTTTGCTAAATTTAAGAAGACAATCTACGAAAATGTCATTGCTCGTCGTAAATTGCCATTCAATTGATTTCAAAGGGACCACAAAGAACCAATGCGAATGATGATGCCCTGCATTGTTAAATTCAACGTCTGACAGCCACGTAAGGCACATGATGTTGTCAAATTTGTTCTAACTACGCGGCTAAATTTAACTAAACTTCACACATAAAATTAGTATGGATAAAATTATTGCTTCCAGCGTGTTTGTGGACACTGGCCCTTGCTGTATTAAAAAATGACTTGCTCCACATTTTATATCCAAAACTTGTATAAAAATAAAAAAATATTTTGAAAATTTTTTTAAATTTTTTTAAATTTTTATTAATTAATTTTTATTAATTATTAAATTTAATTTTTTTTAAATTCTTTCTTCACATAAATTCAATGCTACAAGGTTTTCTTTCATTAAAAATTAAATAATTTAAACTTTTGAAATTATTAGAAATTAAAAAAGAAGTGAACAAAATTGCCACGTGATCGTTTGCTGGAATTTTAAAAAATGTTTGCGAATTGTTGGAGTGGCGACATAAGCCGCTTATGACACCATCCTTTCATTAACAGCATTATTTAATTAGCAACATCATTTATCGAAAACCAGCATGCCTTTAAACTTTAAAGGACCCTAACAACAACAACATAAGAAACGTACGGCTTTTGTAAACAAATTAAAATTTTTTAACGTCGAAAATTAAATTTTTCAAATAGAAAATTTTCTGTAAAATCAATTTTTTCAATTAATAAGTAAATGATGATGAGTGATAATAAAATGTTAATGATGGTGAGTGATAATGAGATGAAAATTATGATGAATGATAATAAGACGCAATTATGATAAGTGGTAATAAGATGTAAGTGACTTGGCACATAAACACACAAAAGTTATATTTTAGTTTGTTCATTTTTTATGGTAGGGCGCGGAGACCAATAAATAAGAATTTATAGCACGAAAAACTCTTCGGCAATAAACATTGGAAATTATATTTCGATTTTTAATTATTTTTATAAATGAACAATCTTTTTAAAATAATTCAACCACTTTGTTATTTATTTGGTTAGACAGCATCAGCGCATTGTATCATTTGACTCTCTCCCATCCTTGACAACACATTAATTTTTATTTGTTTTTTTATTGTATCACCACTTTTATAATCACCCAGAAAAAATCAAATTATATCTGTTCTTGTACATTTTACATTATATGTTTGGTTATGAGCTTGAATATGTTCAACGCCTTCATCGATTATTTCGAGAAACAATCGCCTGTACGCCTAGACGTATGCAATCGAAAACCTTCTTTTTTGGTTTCAACCTGTTACACACACCTCAGAAAGTTAAGCTGCTGAACAACTTTAAAATTTTTGTTCACACACATCTTAAAAATGCAAACATAATGTGAATATGTGCAACAAAGCAGACTGAATCAAAATATTAGGAAGGGATAAAAAGAGATTCCGCCTCTATAGCTGAGGCTTACAAACACGTATTTGTATATTAACCAAGGTAGCCGATGACTAAATGACAAACAGTGGTGTGTTGAAGAGATGCACGTTGCTTGCAAGTCACGTTCGAAATGTGGTAATTAAATTGAATAATGTAAACAACGCAGATAGCAAACATTTTCATCAATGTATTAATTGTTCGGTACATACAGCTTCAATCAATTTTTTATGCACTTAATCAGGATTCAATTTAATTTGTGAACTTATATGTTATTAACTTTGTTTATTGGTTTATTTCATTAATAATTTTATTTCATTTGAATGAGAATAAAAATAAATTAATGAAAAGACGCTAAGATTTACAGTTAGTCAGTAAGCGATGTAAAATGACTTGACTGCACCTTGTTATTCATAACGTCTTAGGAGTCGTTCCTAAAAATTTTTGTAGCATGGCAAAATGTAAACGAATTTCAAACGAATTGTTTTTAAAATGTTAATTTCATCAAAATGTTTACAAAATAATTTTTTAAAAAAGCCCAAAACAATAAATCCACTCCATTTAAATATGTTAAACGTGATAGCATCCTAGAAAACCCTATTTCGAGCCTACCCTTCTGGAAAATGATTGAACCTGCAATAAACACAGATTTAATGGGACGTAAAATGTCTGAGAAAAGACACATTATGTGATCATAAGTTAAAGAACTTCTTCACAAAATATTAGCAATTTCATTATTTAAAAATGGATGGATCTAAAACAGATGAATCAATGATAGCACATAGCAGCAGTTATCACAGATAAAACAAAAATTATGGCGCAATTACCATACGATGCTCTTTTTTCACTGCGGAATTTCAAAGAATTTTATGGCCCTAGATTATGTCGAAAACAGGACTAACAAAACAATTACTATGAAGGTTGACAAAACTTTCAAACTAATCAATTAGATAATAAGCAGAACGTTCAGACAACGTGACAGATGTTTAAAAAATGGTTGCAATTAAGTTGTGTAAGATTTCAAAACCAATTTTTAGATATCAATTTTAAGAACTATTGTAAATACTGTGAAGGACTTATCAAAGACGTTGAAAAGGAATATCTGCCAAACTGGCTAACTTTGGCAACGAACCAAAAAATTCTTATGACGTCTAGGTGAAGGAACTTCAAAAAGATTTTGTAAAATGGGGTGTGCTTTTTATTATTTATATTAGTTAAAAAATTAAACGTAGAAAAGTTTCTATCTACAGACTCTTTGAAAAGATGTAGCCAATGACAAGAAGGACTTTGTGACGGGTTTTTTTTATAAAAATACCCTCACAAAATTTGTTTGGATATGCTACTAAAATCTCTCAATGGCTACCTAAGCTTATGTCAGTTGTTGACATGTTTAAGACTTTACCTACTTTAATTTATCTGTTAGTCGATTTTTTAACAATTGTTTTTGCATTTATGCTTATGATTGTAAAATGTCAGCTAAATCTAAGACATACATGCATACACTTGTTTTTCTTTAGGAACAACTTGAATGAAAATAAAAAGAACTAACATATAAAGATGAAAATAGGAATGAAGGTAGTGAAGAGCAGAAGTCGAAGTTCTCGCGATGTTTTCAAGTACTTCCAATTCAGCGGCATGATAAATAATTTCATTGAACGGTTGATGTTATTGTCGTTAGCGCCTCTAGGATCTTTTTAAAAGGCGCTTACAAACACACCTATAACAATAATAACAATTATAATAATATTGTTGTGTGTTTGTTTGATGTAGGGTGTTTGTTGTTTTATTATAACCTATAAATGTCGTTTAAACTTGCTGTGTTGGAACTTTATTACCCAAACCAGTTATGTTACATAACAAATCAAAAAATTTAATTAATAACACTTTTATATTGTAAGACTATGAATACAATTTTATCACTTGAAATGAACACAAATTACTCTTTAAAATAGAACATTTCATGTGCAAAATTAACGTATTCAAATAAATAAAATTGAAACGCATAAAATTTAAAAATTCTTATTGCTTGTGAAACAAGTAATTTTATAGAGCGAGCATGAGACAGCATGAACTGTATGTATATGGTGCATAATCTTTATAGAGATACATGTTACGTGTTTCAAAACAAGTTGCCAATCTCATCTCATTTACTTTCAATTTTAAAACTAATCAAATAAGGGCCAGCTAGAATTGAATTATTTTAAATATGAGAGCTATAGTAATTAAACGACTAGACACCATTGTCCAAACCATTTTGACAACAATATGATTAGGCAATACAACAGTAATAGAATCACTAAACTAATCCAAGTAACTACATAAATCACAATTACAACTACACTTCAAACCTCGCTAAAAACCTAGCTTATACACAAAATTGTTAAAATCCAAAGATTTCAAACATAGGAAAGATAACAAATAATCAAGATAACAATAACCAACTACTGATATAGCAGATATAACAGTATTGTATCTTACGGACACAAGCCGCTTGTTTGAACAAACGAGTGTCTGGATTCAGAAGATATAAAATAAAATAAAGTTAAGATCGAGGGTGCCATTCATTCCTTGTTTGCTTGTATCATAAACTGCATGGGAGTATCAAAAAAACTGGTCATTGTAAGTAAGTAGGGTAAATTATAAAAATTCGAAAATGACAGTAAAAATTGGGGCACAACTTTGAGATTGGATCAGAAAAGAATTGGCAGCCGACGAGAAAATCCATTATTCTACTACTGTTCAAGTGGTGGAAAATATGAAAACCTCATTGGTGGATGAAAGTTTGCTGATGATAATGATCTACAAACAGTTATGAATCTAGACAACTTGACGAGGAGAACCAAAAAACTTTGAAAAAGTTAAATTTTTGAGTTTTTTAGGATTTTCAAGGGGAAGCCAAAATATGTTTTAAATTAGACTTCCTTTTTTTGCTAACCACGAAAATTTTGTTTGATTTTCTACATAAAACGGTGTTTTATCTGTGCAAAAATTGAGTTTTAACACGAAAAAGGCCCACACCGGCCGCCCTAGAACCGCCATTGCCTAATAGCAACGGTGAAGATATTACAAAACCTGATCGAGATGTAGACGAGGGCTGTTAGGATGATGAGTTGTGTATTAACGAAAAAAGAAAACAAACCAAAAGTAGTGATTTCAAGAAAAAATGAAAAATTTGAATTTGAAAAACAAGTCGAGTAATTCGTGTACCTGAGCGGTCGTAAAGGCTCTTTTTATCGGTGACGTATTTAAAACTTCATCAGATGGATGGATGTATTTTATCTCGATATTCCGTGCACTTTGCAATAAGATAACATTTATTGCATTTATTTGAAAAATATGGTTTGTTAGTTTACTATGTGAAACTACTAGAAACGCAACATCTACACTATAACATACTCACATTGACATAACATAAAAAAGAAATTTACTACTTTTTACACTTGAATGATTAGGCGCTATAATAACAGCTCATAAAACACTTTATTTTTGTCATAGCAACCGTTACTAGAGAGATCTTTTGTAAAGATAATAAATATTAATAGTGAATGCATGTTCAGTGTTTTTCTATCTTTCCATAATTATGAAGCAAAAATGTTAAGTTCTGATAAATCAATCAAGGTAGTTTTCAATTTTATTTTTTAAAGCACATTTTTTTATTGGTTCATTTTTTTTTAAATATTGTTTGCTAATGTATTGTAACATAATGTCTTATGTAACTCAGACAAATACAGAGCTTGCAATGTTCAGTTATTTTTACTTTTTAGTTTTACTCCGTTTAATAACTTAATCAAATTAATCTTTCGCCCTGTTATAAGAGAGTAAAATTAACATTAACATGCACATCACATTCGGCTGTGCAGTGCAGCATTACGAACAACGAAAACATGAAGCATAACTACTATATCAACTATGCACGAAAAAAAGCATGAAAAAAAATTTTCAATTTTATTCCCTTAATCTGCAGCTCATTACCAACTTAACAAGCCCAAATATATATATATATATATATATATATATATATATATATATATATATATATATATATATATATATATATAATATTTTTGTATATTTTTATCGTGAGTTCGACCAGTCCTGTGTGGCATTGGGCTTTTTCGTATTATATGATTTTAATGAGTAACACACGAACGCTAAAAAATATTCGATAACAATTTTATTAATCGACGGAAGTAAATGAAAAGGAATTGAACTAACTAAACTCTAGAATAATGTTAAAAATAATGTCAATGAACAAACTGGAATACAGGAATTAGAACTTCTTTTTGTTGAGTCGGGCAACTTGGGATATGTTTCTTGCCGTTCAAATCGTACAACCTCGACGTGTGTGACCGATGGTGGTGTCGATACAACTCCGAGAAATAAATAAAACGAATGCAGAAAAATTACAAAAATCGGAGCCTATGGAAATTGCAAGCTGTGTGCGAAACTACACCAATGAGTATAGAATCCAGCAAAGAACCCTAGGTCCACAAATAGCACAACAAAAACAAAAGAACGAGGCGGATTCGTTTTCACAGAATCCAAGGCCTGTTTTCACTGGGCCTGTCTGTCAGTCGGTTGGCTTTCGCACAAACCTGGCCTGTTTTCACTGGGCCGTCGAGTCTGGTCGGCTTTCGCACAACCAAGGGCCTGTTTTCACTGGGCCGTCGAGTCTGGTTGGATTTTGCACAACCAACACAAAACAAGAGTCAGAACAACACTGGGAACAAATTGTGTGACTTTAGTACGCGTGCGAAACTATGCCAATGAGCATAGAGTCTCGTACCAAATTACTTTTGAGAACTTAAGACGTTTCTGAAACTATGCCAATGAGCATAGAATCACGATTTAAGTCTCTTAGATACCAGAATAGGCAAAGATTATTCGAAGCTGCATAACTTGTCAACCCAGTGCGGACTCTTTCCCCACATAAGATAAAGAAACTCTATATCAAAGCAAAATTAGATTTTGTTTCGGGTGTTTTTAAACATAAAAATTTCCAAGGTATGTCAAACTAATCAAAAAAACTACTAATTAAATTTTAAAATAATTTGTAATAATTTATGACGTCATCTAAATTGCAAAACAAGTCACCTATCGAGTAAATTAACTTGCATCAGGCCCCCTATCGAGTGAATTACTTTGCATCAAGCCGCCTATCGAGTGAATTAATTTTGCGTTGAAGAACTTTGAAGTATTTTTAGTCAGTATTATTCCATAATTCGGACACATATATATATATATATATATATATATATATGTGTGTGTGTGTGTGTGTGTGTGTGTGTGTGTGTGTGTGTGTGTGTGTGTGTGTGTGTGTGTGTGTGTACACATATATCCCAACTTTAAGAAAGTAAAAACTTTGTAAACCACACCCATGGATATATTATATCCATGACCACACCATGCATTTGTAAACCAAAATCAACAGAGAAAAAATCTTTGATAAAGCGCGCAGCGCAACACATGCGAACTCATTTTTAAAAGAATGATTATTTGTACAAACATCTCAAAACATCATTCTGTGCTTTCAAGCTGGCAATCTTTTGTTTGGAAATTGTTTAAATAATAGATAATAATTTTATATAATTTTTTAATGCATATTAACAATTGTTTAACATTATCGTTGAAATGAAAATGTAAGGTTTTTAATTCTTGCTCTACTGCCACCCATTTTGGATTTTTTTTCTTGTTTTATGGCCAAGTAATAAATAAAACCATTCTTCAGTGGTTCTGATGGGTGGCGAAATTCTCTTCCAGAAAACTTTTCAGAACACCATTGCTTCAATTATCTGAACCTGAGACATGTTTAAATATAGAAGTAGATTTAAAAAAATTAGTTTTTATAATTGCAAACAATGATTTATATCTTATACGCCTAAATATATTAGGCTACTCCATTTGATTTTTACAGAAGGAACTTCAAAGCTGTTTTTCTCTATTCATTGGCTACCTCTCTTTATTTATTGTTTATACTTATAAAAATTTTACAGAATGTTGTTGAATGTTACAGAAAACTATAGAAATTAAAAATTTGTTGTGCTCCATTTAGTTCAAAAGTTAGTATGGTTTATCATCAAAGCCAATGTAGTGCATGGTAGACAGGAACTTCCAGGGGCGTCACTAGGGGGGTGCGGGGGGTGCGGACCGCACCGGGTGACACCCTCACAAGAGGTGACACCAAAATATCACTGTATATGTTTTTATGTCCCTCCATGAAATTATTCTTAGCATTGATTCAGCCCAACCCGCCCAGCGCCCAGAAATGTATTATGAATAAAATTTCTTTCGTTCAAATCATCCATTTTTGTATTCCACGTTTATACCATTTGACGTCCGAATTATTAAGCGCCGCGCATATTTAACTTGTTCGTGTCTAACATAACGTACAACAGTGTTTGTTTTGCCCACCTACTACGCGCGTGTGTTAGTCTAGTTTAAGAGAATAATCTATAATTTACTTAAAGTAAAAAATTATTTAATTTTTAATCAATTTAATGATATAAGACAAAAATTCAAAGTAATTTCACAAAAGTTGATCCGTAAGTACAAATATAATTTGTTTTATTAGCATTTAAATAATTTTAAAATTTTTACATTTAATTTAACCAACCAAATTTCAAATAATTTCATTTTATTTATTTATATTTATATATTTATTGTTGAAGGATATTATATCATGCCACGTGGAGGTGGAGTTCATACAACAAAAAGGCTAAGCGGATGTCAACAAAGAAAAGCCAAAATAAAGAAAGATGAAATACTATCTACATTGCGCGGATCTATGATGCAATATGTAAAGGGATCAGATGAGGCCCAGAGTTCTTCCAAAGACAGTTCCTCAACCACAAAATGATGAGACTAATTTATCTGATGCTGGTATGCAGTCAGCAGAGGAAAACATTAATATAGAAGAAAATAGAGCAGAACAAGATAAAGAAATAGATGGATTTGTAGCAGAAGAGTGGACTGATAATAGTGACTCTAAATATGATACTGAAAATGAACTTACGGGGAAAAATTGGAATGTTTTGGATGATGCTTCTTATTGGAATATACCAATTCCAGATCAATTGCGCGTTCAAATCATCAAAAGAGGAAGTGCATATCTCCAGAACAAAGATGGGCCTTTCAGGATGTTGACGAGGCAAGATCTAAAAGCTAAAGGTGATGTTCGCCAGCTATCTAAAGAGTGGTTTTATATGGTGATGCCAAATGGTGAGAAGGTGTTGCGAACATGGATGGTTTATTCTCCCGTCAGTGAGAAATTATATTGTTTTTGCTGCCGACTCTTTGCCGTTAATGCTACAGACACAACATCCAAATTTGTAACTGGATTTCAGACATGGTGGAAAATGAGCCCGAAAGTGCCTAATCATGAGACATCCGATGCTCACTTGCATTGCTTTGAAAAATGGAAAACCTTGGAGGTGAGACTTAGAATGCACAAAACAATTGATGCAGAAAATATTGCTTTGATAGACATAGAGAAGAAAAAGTGGAGAGACATCTTGCATAGGCTGCTCGATATTACATTGTTTCTCGCCAAGCAAAATCTGGCTTTTCGGGGCCACAATGAAGAAGAATCTTCATTAAATAAAGGAAACTTTCTTGAAATGGTTGAGATGCTTTCTAAATATGACTCAGTGCTAAAAGAGCACCTATTAAGATTACAGCAAAGCACACATAAAACTAAAGCATCAGCATCTTATCTTGCACCAAATACTCAGAATGAGTTTATTCATGTCCTAGCAAATCATGTGAAGGAGAAGCTTATCACGGATATAAAATCTGCCCGGTATTTTGGTATCATGTTTGATAGCACACCTGACGCATCACACAATGACCAAATGTCTGAAATTGTCAGATATGTGAAAATTCATAATAGAAAAGTTGAAGTAAGAGAAGTGTTTCTGGGATTTTTTCCTTTAAAAGGGAAAAAAGCTGCTGATCTCAGTTCTGATATTCTCGAAAATTTGGAAAGTGATGGACTCAACTTTATGATGTGCCGCGCTCAAGGTTACGACAATGCTGCGACTATGGCTGGAATCCATGGGGGTGTACAAGCCATTTTGAAAAGAAAGAACAGGAAAGCTATTTTTAATGGTTGTGTGGATCATTCTCTTAACTTGTGTGGCCAACACTCTTTTGCTGAAAATGCTTTGTGCGTGACTTTTTTTGGAACTCTTGAGACAATGTTTTCATTCTTTGTTGCTTCCACTCACCGATGGGATGTTTTAATGAACCACACTGGAGTTTCATTAAAAAGATTATCAACAACACGCTGGAGTTCTCATCACGCAGCAGTAAAGGTAGTGAAAGAAAAATTTGATGAATGTGTGACGGCAATAGAAGCTCTTTGTGATCCAGGGGAAAATCTAGACATTAGAGGTACAGCCCGAGGTCTTTTACCTGCTATCTGCAATTTCACTTTTCTGTGCTATCTCTTCTTTTGGTGTGATGTACTTGAAGAAGTAAATCTAACGCAGCTGTACCTTCAGACTAAGGGCTTAAGTCTTGACAAGGTGGTGACAAAGCTAGAGACACTAAGACTTTTTATGTATGAGAAGCGCAATCATCTTGTGGAGCAGGCAATTGAACAGGCACTTATAAAATCAGACCAATATGGAATTTCAGTAGAGAGCAGACCCAGGTTCAAGAAGAGGATGGCAGGCGAGCGCGAGAAGACGAGAGATGCTGGACTTACTCTGCAGGAAGAAAACAAGAGAGCGATGTATGAGTGTATTGATCGTTTCCATTCTGAACTCCAGATCAGATCAAGAGCCATCAAGGAAGTAGCAGCCATGTTTGAGGTTGTTCAAGCCAAGAGTTTGATATCTGCTACTGAAGAAGAGTTATTGGTAAACATTCCAAAATTGACCACATTCTATGATGAGTTATCAGAAATAGAGCTTTTATTAGAAATACCAAGACTGAGAAGATATCTGAAGGCAGCAGAGATTGATCTTGAAGAAGCCAAAGACTGGTCAGTACTTGACATTTTGAAATTCATAGTTGAATGGGACTTCCTAGAATCTCTCCCATATCTCTCAGTGAGCCTACAATTATTTCTTACAATCTGTGTGTCTGTGGCTTCATGTGAGAGGAGTTTTTCAAAGCTAAAGATTATAAAGAACTATTTGCGATCTACTATGGGACAGTCTAGGCTTTCTGATCTTGCAATATTATCAATTGAAAGAGATTTGGCAAAAGAAGTTGATTTTGATGAAGTAATTAACAAGTTTGCATCTTTAAAGGCGAGGAAAGGGAAGTTCTGATTTAGTTGAGATTTAATGTGACATATTTTCTATTTAGTTTTATTTCTTAAAATCTTTGATAGATCACAATTTTTTTTAAAGAATAAAAAAATCGACCTTGAATTATTTTTTTTTCTATTGTCGTTGTAAATTTATTTATAAATTATGCTAAGAATGCTGTATGTCTATGGGGTGTCATGAGAGGGGTGACACCATGAGTTACCGCACCGGGTGACACCAACCCTAGTGACGCTACTGGGAACTTCAAAGCTGTTTTTCAGTATCGACGACCCAATTGATTCTTATAAAATTAAACTATTGAAATTAAAAAAATTGATGTGCTCCATTCAGTTCAAAAGCTATAGCATGATTTATCATCAACGCCAAAAAAATGTTTTTTAAAAATACCTGTGGCCTCTTCGAACGGCTTCAGTTTTCAAATATAAATTAATAAATCCTTATTTTTATAAAATATATAAAAAATTTCGAAGTGCTTAGAAAAATAATTCGAAACTAACCTGATTGAAAATGGCCAAAGTTAAGGCGCGTAGAAATCAAAGAAAAGCGATTGACAACAACAACAAACCATATATTAATGATAACAAATCTTTTTAAAGTTAATTTATACCAATGATGACAAGATGTGTCAACGCATTGCCAAAAATTAAAATAATGCCTCACTGTGTTTTGCCAATTTTTTAGCGTCAGCGCATGCTTAAAAGTAGCGTGCTAAAAAATCGGGTCGAAAAGTTACCTGTTTCACTTTAACGTACTTATTTTGTCAGAATTTTTTGAAAGCCATTACGACGATATTCGGAATTGGCGAATAAACCCTATCAAAAACTAGCTGGACTGGCCTTAACATAAATTGGCAGTCTTCGAGTTGTTAATTAAAAGATTAAAGAATTATTTGAAATTTGTTGTGTTGTTTTTTTAATAACCCCAACAAATTTTTTACATCAAATTATATCTATACATTCTCGAGACTTAGGTATCCTTCACCAAAAATATGTATGTCATCTTCAGGCATTTGTAAATGCTCGATCACTTACCTCATAATTTAAAATCTTTATCTTTTGCCATTGGTAGTCCTTGAAAATATTTCACTGTTTATTTCATTACCATTGAAAACTTAACTAATTATCCAGTTTGATGCAGTTTGTTATAATTTTTTCTTTTATTTTGTTGTTCTGGATTTCCATCTCACTCTTATCTATCTTTCTATCTTTAAAAATAGGCTATTATGCAACAATCGAATTATATTGATATAACCTAATTGTTTAATTTAAATGCAAATGAAAATTTAAAATAAAGAAAATTTGGTAAAGAAAAATTTAAATAAACTTCAATTAATTTTGAAATCAAAAATAACGGTAACGATAACTTACGGTGTTTAAACAATCGATAGCTATAAATAAACTATAAGAATTGAACTATACTATTTGCAATGGACGTCAACTTGGACGTGCTTACTTCTCGTCTTATAGTCTTATTAGGCTTACTTATAATTTATAGTTTTTTGGATTTTGTTATTTTGAGTTTCCCTGCTTTAATTATAATAGATGTCTGACGGCAATATTGTTTTTGCTTCCAGTACAGTTTATAACAAATAGAAGGAATAACTTAAACAGAGCAATACCGGTTCAAAATTGTCTGTTTATTACTAATATAATTATCTTTTTTGATTTCTCTAAAACTCTAGTCAAAATTTTGCTTTTAGAAAAAAAACTTTTAATATATTAGATTTCTGTTTGTGCTAATTTTATTTAACATTATATTTTTGTCATATAAATAGGAAGAATCCAAGAAACGTCAGCGCAGAGGATATTTATCAAAAAGGTTTTATACTTTAACCTTAACATATACTTTAACAAAACTATTTTTTTTTACACTTTACTAGGCAGAAAATAAGTTTTATATAATCTAATACTAAACAATATCGCGTTTAATTAGTTCACTATTGGGTTTGAGATGAGGTATGAATGGCGCGCAAATTATCCAATTTGAATGATATTTGGGTTGGCATGTGAGTATGAGTGTGGATATGCTTGAGACGTGTGAGTGTGTGTCTGTGTATTACTTTTATTATTACTTGAACAATTTATGCTTTCATTTAATTAACTAATTTTGTGGAATTGGGGTTATGGGTTGTACACCTGCGCTCATTAAATCAGTAAACAAAAGTCGTTTTGTAGGTCTTTTACGTATCAGTAATGTGATATAACGATGTAACTAAAAATGATAAGTTTCGATGTTGTTCAGAATATTTTCCAACAACGTTAAATAAAACTGACAGCGATCAGTCGTCAGATTCTCAAAGAATTTGTGCCGATAGAAAACACTTTTGTTTGAATGGTAGTGAACATTTTTCGCTACAATATGACCTGTTCAAAAATTTTTTATTTTAAAACAACTGAATAGAGGATTTAATAATCATAAGATGGTAGCCCTTACCTAATTCT